ATTGGTATTTCATTAAAAAGAAGACCATGTTCTTGTTCTTTATGAGAAGTGGTTTTATTTATTTTTAACAAAGTGTGTCACTGCAGTTAAATTGGTGTCTATCATGATAAAACCTTAATATCAAACCTATATAACGAGTTTGGAAATTTTAGAGAAATGCTAATAAATGCATTACACTGTAACTAAACCCATTAGATTGTAGCCAACTAAATTTACTGTAGATTTAGTCGACTAAAATCGTATGATATTTAGTCGACTAAAACTAAAAACAATTCAGATTACTAAAATATGACTAAAACTAAATGGCATTTTAGTCAAAAGACTATGACTAAAACTTAATCAAAATTTGCTGTCAAAATTAACACTGTTGTGATGTTTTAATCAGCTGTTTGGACTCTCATTCTGACGGCACCCATTCACTGCAGACTCAGTGGATCCATTGGTGAGCAAGTGATGTAATGATACATTTCACCAAATCTGTTCTGATGCATAAACAAACTCATTTGCATCTTGGATGGCCTGAGTACATTTTAATTTGTGGGTGAACTGTTCCTTTAATGCATGTCATTGCACTAAGACTTAGATGTATAACTCTGGCTGAATCTCAAAGGTTTGATGCTGAAATGGGACTCTGATTTCTTATTATGACACTGTCAGAGCTTTGAACAAAAGGCCCTGGAGCTCTGACAGTTATATGAGACAAAGATACAGATCTGTCACTAACAATTTTCTCTTTCAGCTGGTCTTCATCTCCCATTTTCTAAGCCCAGATTTATAGTCAAAGATAGCACATCCATCTCAATATATTTAGACGGCACAGGCGACTAGTTGCTGTCAGTTTAATTGCATACGCTCTTCTCTGATATTCTAATGCTACTTCTTCATATTTTTCATTCTCTGATGATGGATGAAGCCTCATTTTCCTGTTATTGCCTCCATCGATAACTCAATTCTTTGAGGAAAGATATCTCAGAATATGCAAGTATTGTGTACTTTGTTCTGGGTATTATATTGTTCAAGAATGGCTGATCAAAGGCATTCTTTCTGTTACTTTAGGAAATATGAGCGTTTTATTTACATGGCTTTTAGCTGATGGAACTTTGTCACTGTATTCCTCAAGCAGGTAGTAAACCACATAGTGAGCTGCGTTTAGCTGTGTAATCTAGGGCTTAAGAGAAGAAGAATGTTGTTACCTGCAGGGTCATCAGTCCATGCCAAAGATCTCATTCACGGGGTCAAACCTGTGTTCAATTATGCATGCTCAGTAGAATATTGCGGGCAGAAGGGAATTCATTTCACTCGTCTTTTTTAAGTAAGTTGTTTGATTCAAAAAGATTGAGAAGATACCTTTTATTTTTAAAGGGGCCATTATAATAATAATAATTAACAATTAAATAATAACTTAATAGGTTTTTCATTGAATCATGTCACATGATGTGGAAACTATGATAATTTCAAGATGTTTTTGATGATTTGAAGGTTCAAAGTAAAAACAGTTATTTGAAATAGAAATCTTTGTAACATTATAAATGTCTTTACTGTCACTTTTGATCAGTTTAATGCAGAATAAATGCAGCCTTGTTGAGCGTGTGTGTGTGTGTGTGTGTGTGTGTGTGTGTGTGTGTGTGTGTGTGTGTGTGTGTGTGTGTGTGTGTGTGTGTGTGTGTGTGTGTGTGTGTGTGTGTGTGTGTGTGTGTGTGTGTGTGTGTGTGTGTGTGTGTGTGTGTGTGTGTGTGTGTGTGTGTGTGTGTGTGTGTGTGTGTGTGTGTGTGTGTGTGTGTGTATACACGTGGACAATTACACAACGTATTAGGGGTTGAATGACTTCTGATTTTTTGAAGTCGACTTTTATGTGATGAAAGTCGAGTCGAAGTCGACTAGTCGCTGATGACGTCATTAATGAACAAATAAGTCTGGAGCTGTGA